ATATATATATATATATATATATATATATATATAATTCTATCTTAAACTCTGTCCTAAACAGGACAGTATATCTTAAATTTGGCCAATTATATCAGAATGTATTAATTAAATACTCATATCGGAAAGATCATGCTACATGAAATTATGAGAAAAATCTAAGTTGTTCTGCTTTCTCAGTATTTACTTACAAATATGATTAAGATAATTCATATAAATTTTATCACTAATATACGAACAAATAGACACAAATAAGAAGGCATTCTATAATGTAACAGTCGTAGATATGTAACACGATACATATATGGTCCTTTTGTAGATTTACGAATCGCAACTTCAACTTCGATGAAAATATACGTGTATAGTCAGTGTTCAAGTCTTTAATTGTTGTTGCGCACTTCACTCCATCACTTATCTAACATGTTCGAATGCGCGATTCAACAAATGTATCTCCATTATATTCTATCACAAGATAAAAAAGGAACATCTTTATTATCATGATTACGATCAATAGATCGGATTGATTCGCGTCTACCATGGAAGCACTTCGGCTTTGATTGCCATTCCAATTCCACTATATAAGTGAAAGACATTAAGGAGAAAATAATTATCATTATGAGATATACAGATATCACACGGCAGCGGTGAATACATTATATTCTATAAATGACATAATATTAGCAGAAAATTTTCAAAATAAGCTCGTTTATTTAAAGTCTAATATATTGTACCAAATATACTCGTTCAAGTCGAAAATCTCGTAACTTATATCTCACAATATATTTACAATCCAATTCGAAATAACAAAGTCGCACGTTTATATACATATAAGAGAAACATTTCTCGAGATTATATCTTTAACTGATAATAGATTTGGAGATGTTACTTTTACTGGCAGTTTTTACTCCACATCATCCTTTAAGCAGCTTAATTGAAGTCTGGAGATGCTAGAAAACGTAAGCGAATAACAAGTACCTTAATGTTTTATTGAAATATCAAATTTATACAAATTTATAAGAAAAGGTGTGAATGAACGCGATGAATTTATCATAACGATATTTATAAGAATAATAAGCGACAATAACTAATAAACATGAGGACAATAATAATTAATAATAATAATGACGATAACGATGATGACGATAAAAATGATAATATAATATTAAAATAAAATAATACTTATAATATAATAATACTTACAACAGGTAACAACACACAGTCCTAGTTTTGCACAAAAATCTTTTCACAACAGTTTGATTAGTCTTAATGACTGCTTAAAAGTTGTTATAGAGTATAAATTCATAAATAATTTTATCAGTCACACAGAATGGCAACATGTGTATGGACTCATTTCTGTTTAATAACGATTTGGCACATGAACAGCAAGCGCGTGACGCTACGCTCTTTTCATGATTTATGAGATGAAATTAAGATGCCATTCTTATTTGCACGTTCATAAACACACTCTTATAGGAAAGAAAGTAAAAAAAAAAATAATGTTCAGACACGAATTTCCGTCTTTCCGTCTTGCGTTACTTAGGAAGAGGG